GGTGAGCCAGGGAGAGAGGCCGGGTGGGAGTACCTGTCAACAGCTGCACTACCCTTGCCGCAGGTTACGCTGTGGCTGTGCTGCACAAGGCCTGCAGCCTGTCCTGCATCGCGGGGGCTCCACGGTACGAACATCGCGGGGCCGTGTTTGAGCTCCAGGAGGGCAGAGAGGCCAGCTTCCTGCCAGTGCTGGAGGGAGAGCAGGTACCTGCAGGGAAAGGCCTCCACCCGGTGTGACAGATAGGGAATCGGAGGCCCCAAGGGAAAGGGGAGGGCCTCAGGGTGCACAGTGGGCCAGGTCCAGGTCAAACTCAGGCTCCGGAGTAGCACTCCAGGGCTCTGGCCCTGGGCCGCGTGTCTGATTGCTGGGCATGTCCTCCACCCTGGGGCCTGGAGTGCTCATCCAGGTACCTCAGGGAGCAAATCGATATGTAATGACCCAAACTGGGTGGTCCAGGAAGCAGGACAGGGCTGCAGGGTGGAGGTAGCCTTGCTGCAGGGTGGAGGAGTGGGGCTCCTGCTGAGCTGAGCTCCTCCCCGGTGCAGATGGGGTCCTGTTTTGGCTCTGAGCTGTGTCCTGTGGATATCAACATGGATGGAACCATGGACCTGTTGCTGGTGGCTGCGCTGTTTGACCACGTTCGTGGAGAAGAAGGCAGAGTCTATGTGTACCGTCTCAATGAGCAGGTGGGAGAGCCGCCATCTTCATGCGCTTGCTAAGGCTGTGGCACTGAGCCCAGTACAGAGGTGATGGAGGCTGGGAGTGCCCTGGCCCTGCTTGGCACCAGTGGGCAGTGACGGGGAGGTGCTCAGGATGGATAGCTGCTGGGCAGGGGCATTGGTGTTGCTCTCAGCTCCCTCTTTCTTACCCAAAGGCAGAATGACAATCTCTCTCTCTCTTTTTTTTTGAGACTGAGTCTCACTCTGTTGCTCAGGCTGAAGTGCAGTGGTACGATCTCAGCTCACTGCAACCTCCACCTCGTAGGTTCAAGCAATTCTCCCCCCTCAGCCTCCCGAGTAGCTGGGATTATAGGCATGCGCCACCATGCCTGGCTAATTTTTGTATTATTAGCAGAGATGGGGTTTCACCATGTTGGCCAGGCTGGTCTCGGACTCCTGACCTCAGGTGATCCACCTGCCTCGGCCTCCCAAAGTGCCGGGATTACAGGCGTTGAGGTACCATGCCCGGCTGATAACAACATCTCTTACAGCTTCGGGCTGCCAAAGCACATTTTGTCCGGATCTCACTTATTTCTCACAGTAACTATGGGAGGCAGCTGCCACTCTCATCTTACAGGTGAGGAAGCTGGGGCTCAGGGAGCCTCAGTGACGCTGAGATGTGCTCGAGGGTACCTGGCATGTATGTGGCAGAGCCAAGAGTAAAGCCTGGGCCTCCATTTGCAGCAAGGCACCCCTGCCTGTGGGAGTAGGAGGAGCAGGCTCTGGGTCCTGAACTTCAAGGCAGGATGACCCCAGCTTTCCCCATGGGCTCACTGTGTGACCTTGGGAAGGTCCCTGGCCTTTTCTGGGCCTCAGGCTCCCTGCTGGAGAATCAGAATCCACCAGTGAGCATGCCACCTGGGTGGCAATGGGGCAGGCACCCAGTGCCCCCCTTCTCAAGGGCTGAGCTGTTTGCTTCTTTACAGGATGGTTCCTTCTCCCTGTCACACATGCTGAGTGGGCACCCCGGGTTCCCCAGTGCCTGCTTTGGCTTTGCCATGGCGGCTGTGGGGGATATCAGTCAGGATAAGCTCACAGATGTGGCCATTGGGGCCCCCTTGGAGGGTTTTGCAGCAGATGATGGAGCGGGCTCTGGCAGTCTGTATATTTACAATGGACACAGGGACGGCCTCTCCACCAGCCCCTCACAGGTGGCCCACGGGGCCCTCTCCTTCCTCTCCTCTGGGGCTCTGACCCAAGCCCCAAGCGGCTTCAGTCCCAAGTGCCAGGCAGGTCTGAAGGGGCTGGGAGTATCCAGTGAAAGAAGGAAGTTACTCAGGCTGGCGGGAGGTTCCAGCCCACGGCCTCGCCTCAGCCCCTCAGGTGCAGGGAGGTTGTGGCAGCAGCTGTCTCCTTCCCTGGCCTACACCCTCTCCTCCCTCCAGCCTGGCTTGGGTCACTGCTTCTCTTTCTGTCCCTTGCTCCTGTCTCCCACGCAGCACCTCCCTGCCTCGTCTTTCCTGCCCTAGGGTCTGCTGCCAGCCTCTCACTCCACATCTCTTAGGCACTTTCACCCACCTCCAGACCCTCCTGAGCGCCTCCACCTGGATGGCCCCCAGGCATCTCCCTCCCATCTGAAAGCACCTGCTTTCCCCAGACCTGCTGCTACTGAGACCTCATCCCCCTCCACACCCCACACCAGAAACCTCAGATGATCCCCAGCACACCCCCGCCCTTCACAGCCTGTCAGTCCCCACGTCCTCAGGATTCTAGCTGTCTCCCAAGTCCTGCCCCTTCTCTCCAACCCCACCACCGTGGTCCCAGCTCAGGCCTTGCCATCCCTCTCCTGGACCCCCAGCCCGCCCAGTTTCCTCCTCCTCTGCATCTTTCCCCCTGTGTCTTCAGTGCCATTTTTTTTTGTTTTTTGAGATGGAGTCTCATTCTGTCACCAAGCTGGAGTTCAGTGGTGGATCTTGGCTCACTGCAACCTCCACCTCCTGGGTTCAAGCAATTCTCCTGCCTCAGCCTCCCAAGTAGCTGGGACTACGGACACACGCTGCCACACCCAGCTAATTTTTGTATTTTTAGTACAAACGGGGTTTCACCACGTTGGCCGGGCTGGTCTCAATCTCTTGACTCAGGATCCACCAGCCTTGGCCTCCCAAAGTGCCAGATTATAGGAGTGAGCCACCAAGCCCAACCTTCAGCGCCATTTCTAAAGTGTTATCCTGATTACATCACTTCAAAAAAACAGAGCCTTTGTTGACACCCCCACCCCAAGCCACACATCAAGCCTCCTTGTACCCCAGCCCCCTGCGGCCCACCCCGCCCCTGGCTGCTTCTCAGAGGGCCCTGCTCTTTCCCCATGCCTCACTCTTTCCCTCACTCTCCCACATCAAGTCCCACCTGCCCTTCAAGGCTCCATGCACATGCCACTTCCTCTGGGAAAGCTTGTCCACTCTTTCCTGCTTCTAGACTGGGGGCTGCCTGGGGCTGGTGCCTGCCACGCTGACCGGGACTCCCCGTCCCATGCCCCTCCCTTCCCTCACCCCATGCCTTGTGTTTCTGCCTCCACAGCGGATCAGAGCCTCAGCGGTGGCCCCAGGACTGCAGTACTTCGGCATGTCCATGGCTGGTGGCTTTGATATCAGTGGCGACGGCCTTGCTGACATCACGGTGGGCACTCCAGGCCGGGCAGTTGTGTTCCAGTGGGTCTGGGGTCCTGAGCCCAGCCTCACCCATCTGCCCCGCTCTAAATAGCTCCATGCAGAAAGTAGGCACTGAGGGAGGGAGCCGGCACTAAAAATACAAAAATTAGCAGGGCATGGTGGCAGGTGCTTGTAATCCCAGCTACTCAGGAGGCTGAGGCAGGAGAATCACTTGAATCCAGGAGGCAGAGGTTGCGGTGACCTGAGATCTCATCATTGCACTCCAGCCTGGGTGACAGAGTGAGCCTCCGTCTCAAAACAAAACAAACAAAATCGGAGCTCTTATCTCCACCCACCCTTCATTCCCCCAAATCTGTCCCACCCTCGGGCTTTCTGTCATGGCAAGTGGCACCATTGTCCACCCAGAAACACAGGATGAAAACCTGGTCCTTGATGCCTCTTTTTCCTTCCCCTGTCACCACATCAACGAGTCTTAGTTGGCTCTGCCTGCAACTACCCCCCAGCATAAGTGCTGTCCTCACCCCCGGACACTGGCCTGCAGCCTTCCCTGCCTCCATCCTCCACACAGCAGCACCTGAAACCCCTCCACGCTCCCACTTAGAGTAACAACCCAGTTCCTTACCGTGGCTTTGCAGGGTTCTTTGTGGCCTGGCCCTCCCCAGCCCTCCATTCCCACCTCCTCCTCCTCTCCTCTGTCTCACTAATTAGGCTCCAGGCACGCGGACCTTTGCTCTCCCCAAACCGCAAATGTCCCTGCCACTGGCCCTTGGCGCTGGCTGTGCTTTTCACCTGGAATGCTCTGCCCCGTGTCCTCACATAGCTGGCTCTTCGGTTAACAAATCTCAACCGAAATGCTTCTCGTCAGTCAGGCCATCTCTGACCATTAGCCCCCAGTCCTTATTGCAGAACTTTGGTTGTTGAGATGGAATCTCACTCTTGTCACGTCACCCAGGTTTGAGTGCAATGACGACATCTCGGCTCACTGCAACCTCCACCTCCCGGGTTCAAGCAATTCTCCTGCTTCAGCCTCCAGAGTAGCTGGGATTACAGGTGCCCGCCACAACGCCTGGCTAATTTTTGTATTTTTAGTAGAGATGGGGTTTCACCATGTTGGCCGGGATGGTCTCAAACTCCTGACCTCAAGTGATCCGCCTGCCTCGGCCTCCCAAGGTGCTGGGATTACAGGTGGGTGCCAGCCACTGCACCCGGACAAGGGTATTTTATTTTGTATCCAAGCATTGCCAATGCATAGTATTTCCCTGTTTATTTGCTTGTTGTGCTTTCCCATAAAAGCAGAAACTCAGGGCAGCACCTGCGTGTGGGGAGGTTTGATGGACTCACTGACTACATGAACCAACCAGCCAGGCCTGACCCAGGAGCCTGTGGTCACTCCTCCCATCCTCATTGCTGTCTCGGTCAGCTCCCGGCCTGTGGTTCGCCTGAATGTATCCATGGCCTTCACCCCCAGTGCACTGCCTGTTGGCTTCAAAAGCGATGTGAATGTCAGTTTGTGTTTTGCAATCAGCTCTGAGTCAGGTAAGAGGTGGCCCAGCTGCCCCCCGCATCCCAGCGTGATGGTCATTCCTTCTTGGCTTCTGTAGGAGGCAGGGAAAGAGGACAGGGCGGGGGTGGGCTGGGGTGGGGGTGTTTGTCTGAGATCCTGGTGCTTGAAATCCCTCCATTAGAACTGTAGCTCCTTTGTCTCCAGGCTCTGTGAAATGCAAACGGCCTCAAAAAGGGTGTTCTGATGTTACATCAACACTCTGAGCGGCTTAGGGCTGACACTCTTGGGAGGAGGGTTGCTGGAGCCCTTTCTCAGGGTTGAAGGGTTGAGTTTCTGAAAAAAACACTCAGAAAAAGGCAGCCATGTCTCCATGCCCGCATGTGTGCCTGTACTCAGGAGCTCTGGGGACACGCCCTTTGCCTTCTCTCTGGCTGTGTCCTCTCCTCATCCCTTCTGTCCCTCCTCACTCTGTGCCTCTGGCCCAGGTGGGATTGGATAATCTGTCTAGGCTGAGTTTCTCTTTCCTTACCTGAAACTCATCAGGAGACTGTTTCCAGAAAGGAGGTGGTGGGCACGGCTTTCACAGCCCAGGAATTCACTGCCCACCCAAGCACTCCCCTCGGGAACGATTCCTCAGCCACAGTCACGGAGGTTTACTCTCTCAGGAACAGTCTCTGAGATGACTCTCTGTCTCCCGCAGGTCACAGAGCAGGCTCCTGTGGTGCGGTGGCTTTATCAAAGCAGGAGTCTATTATCCACTTGGGGGGTGGAAACAACAGACCTGTCCCTTCCCAGACACAGAGCTCGATGGGCTATGCAGCACTGGGCAAGGTCTCTCCCCAGCCGAGCTGGTTCTGTTCTGTATACCGTGAGGGATTTGGCCCCAGGATCTCCATGGTGCTTCCAGCACTGCGTTCCTTGGGTTTGACTCCATGGTTTCCCTCTGTCCCTCTCCATTCTCTTTGTTGATTCTCTTCCTCCTCATTTTCTTCTTCAGTCTCAACCCCCTTCTCGAGCCCTCCTTCCCTAATGAAGGCTGACTCAGTCCTGGGAATGTGATGCTCTGGGTTGGAGCACTGAGAGACCCTGGCCAGGTGTCAGAAGGCAGTGAGAAAAATACCTTTGGAGAAAAGAATGTGGCCAGGCGAGGTGGCTCTCGCCTGTAATCCCAGCACTTTGAGAGGCCGAGTGGGCAGATCACAAGGTCAGGAGTTCGAGACCAGCGGAGGAGTTTGGATGGGAGTCCGGAGGGGTCTGTGCTATTGAGAAAGGATTCGAGGTGATGCAGTGAGGGGCACATACCCGGACCTACAAATGAGGTGATTGAAATAATCATAGCAGGCCGGGCACGGTGGCTCATGCCTGTAATCCCAACACTTTGGGAGGCCGAGGTGGGCAGATCACCTGAGATCAGGAGTTAGAGACCAGCCTGGGCAACATGGTGAAACCCCGTCTCTACTAAAAATTCAAAAATTAGCCAGGCTTGGTGGTGGGGGTCTGTAATCCCAGCTACTCGGGAGGCTGAGGCAGGAGAATCAATTGAACCCAGGAGGCAGAGGTTGCAGTGAGCTGAGATCACGCCACCACACTCCAGCCTGGGTGACAGAGCAAGTCTCTGTCTCAAAAAAAAAAAAAAAAAAAGAAAAAGAGAGAGAGAGAAAAGAAAAGCATTCTTCCTGTCATCTTCTTCTAACCCTGCCTTCCATGGTGACCCCACAGCTCCATGAGGTGGACTCCTTCTCCAATGCCAGCATCAAGGTCAGCTACCAACTTGAGACCCCTGAGAGACAGAGGGACCATCCCCAGCCCATCCTCGACCACTACGCTGAAGCCTTTGCCATCTTCCCGGTGACTCTACCCTCAGCCAGTACCAACCCTCTTGAGAGCCGATCCCACAGAAAGCATCTGCTCCCCTGACTTCCAAGAATGTTAGAACTGGGAGGGAGTGTCTTCAGACAGCATTTGGGTGACTCACTGTACAAATGTGAAACTGGGTCACTGTGATCGTGTTAATGTGTGTAGGGCATCACTCATGGGTAACACAGGTCTCCATCTGTCTCTGGGGCCATGACTTTATGTTCACAAAAGTGCTTGCTGCGTATTTCATGACGCACAGGCATATGTTGCATCCTGGGGCCTCACTTGGCAGGGAGCTCTGATGATGCTGTGGTGGGGGTCCCTTGTGAGAGCTAGATGGGAGCTAGCCTGTCTTGTGCTGCAGAGGATGCCCTTTGGTGCCCTGCCTGTTCACTCCCTGCCAGGGCCTTCAGGCTGAATGGCCCCACCAAACCTGTGCCCCTGCCTCTCCTGCTGGTGCCCATCAGTGCAGCTCAGACAGGCGGGTAGTGTCATAAAAAACTTTTGTCGGCCAGGAGCCCTGGCTGATGCCTGTAATCCCAGCACTTTGGGAGGCTGAGGTGGGCGGATCACCTGAGGCCAGTAGTTCAAGACCAGCCTGGCCAACATGGCGAAACCCCAACTCTACTAAAAATACAAAGATTAGCCAGGTGTGGTGGCAGGAGCCTATAGTCCCAGGTACTCAGGAGGCTGAGGCAGGAGAATTGCTTGAACCTGGGAGGCGGAGGTTACAGTGAACCAAGATTGTACCACTGCACTCCAGCCTGGGCGACAGAGCAAGCTCAATCTCTCAAAAACAAACAAACAAACAAACTTCAATATATATTTCCTTATAAAACAGAGGCATTGTCTTTAATCAAAATCAGGAAATTCACATTGATAAAATACCATTATTTAATCTACAAACTTTATTCAAATTTTGCCTGTTGTCCTATTAATGCCCTTTATAGCAAAAGAAAAATTCTGGTCCAGGATCATCAATCGTGTTCTGCTGTCATTTATCTCCTTTAATCCGGAAAAGTTTCTCATCTTTCCTTGTCTTTTGATGACATTCATGTTTTTGAAGGGTGTAGGCCAGTCCTTTTATAGAATGTTCCTCAATTTGTCTGATGTTTCGTCATAGAGTCAGGTTACCCATTTTGTTTTGTTTTGTTTTTGAGACAGAGTTTCACTTTTGCTGCCCAGGCTGGAGTGCAATGGTGCAATGTCAGCTCATTACAACCTCCAGCTCCCGGGTTCAAGCGATTCTCCTGCCTCAGCCTCCAGAGTAGCTGGAATGACAGGTGTGTGTCACCATACCCGGCTAATTTTTTGTATTTTTAGTAGAGACAGGGTTTCACCATGTTGGCCAGGCTGGTCTTGAACTCCTGACCTCAGGCGATCCACCTGCCTTGGCTGGGATGACAGGCATGAGCCTGGCCAGGTTCTGCATTTTTGGCAGGAATATCACAGAAGTAAAGTTGTGTCCTTCTCAGTACACCATCTCAGGCGGCACCTCATGGATTTGTCCCATTCCTAGTGTGATTTGCCTGTGTAATTAATCATCTCAAGGTGAGATGCCTTAAGATGATATGCTGCTTAACATCTATTTATGTCTTTCCTTAACCAGTGATGACTATTATGCTACGGCAGAGAGTTTAAAAAATTTATTCAGTCTGTGAAATGGGTGAGGAGAACTTACGTGGTGTTAGGCACATCGCTGTTACCAGAGAATGTGTCCCCAGCTGGGCGTCTAGCTGGCTTAACCCCATTGTCTTTCACTGGGGCTGGGTGGAAAAGATCAGGCTACTTGTCTACATTAAAAATACAACAAAAAAGCCCTGCATGAAACTGTTGGCCCACTTAGAGCTCCAGGCTTTGACTTCTGCAAATGCCGCCTCCCTTCCCCAGGAAGTAGAAAGTCTCCTTTCAAGCTCTGGGCTCTTATTGCCACCCTAGGCCGTGGTAACAGACCTGCAGAAAGCTCCGGAGGTGGCCGCTGGGAGAGAAACGCAGAGGCCCTCCAGCAGAGGAGCTGCCTTTCTTCATAATCAAAAAACAGACCCAGCTACTTTAGAAAACTGGAATTTTTTAAAACATGAAAAGGGGCTTTTCAACCTCCATGGGGCCTTTTTAAATGTGGCTTTCGGAATGAGTTGGTTATGTGGAGGCAAGATGGCAAGGGAAATGGCTTACAGAGACAGCTAGCCAAGTTGGGGGCAGTGGCTCACGCCTGTAACTCCAGCACTTTGGGAGGCCAAGGTGGGTGGATCACTTGAGGTCAGGAGTTTGAGACCAACTTGGCCAACATGGTGAAACCCAGTTTCCACTAAAAAGACAAAAAGAATTGGCTGGGTGTGGTGGTGGGTGCCTGTTATTTCAGCTAGTCAGGAGACTGTGTCAGGAGAATCGCTTGAACCCAGGAGGCAGAGGTCGTGGTGAGCCGAGATCGTGCCACTGCACTCCAGCCTGGCAACAGAGCAAGACTCCGTCTCAAACACACACACACACACACACACACACACCCCAGAGATGACTAGCCACACGGAAGAGAAACTCTGAGGCCTGGACCTTGACAATATTCAGTTAGGTAGCCCCCATTCCTGCCTACACCCGAAAAGACTAAGGAAGCTTCTCTTCACATAGCTGTCTGCTCCCTAAATGCTGGGAGTTGTGAGCTGTGTGTGCTGCTTAATTCCCATGATGTGAATGTAATGGGCACACCTCACATTCCATGCAGGTCACCCCACTTTTTACCGTGGCCAGAGGCCTGGGTCACAGTGTGCCCATGTTATAGGACAGATCCAGGAATGTCATCGTCCCTGTTCTTCGGGCCGTGTATGCACAACCCCAGCCTGCATCCCTCACCTCCGGTCTCAGGGTGAGCAGGAGGCACAGCCCGAAGCATCCTAAGGAGAACACCCAGAGGCAGGGCTGCTGGGGAAGGCGGGGCCTGGCTGATTGGGACTCTCTCTGTCTGGTTACAGCTGCCCTATGAGAAGGACTGCAAGAATAAGCTGTTTTGTATCGCAGAATTACAGTTGGCCACCACCGTCTCTCAGTGAGTTGGAAGCAGCCCTTGGTTTCCTGCAGTTAACGTCCCCCAAATGCTTGCGTGGGCGAACCCCCCATCAGGATGCACCGCACACTCCCTTCCCCACTTCCCGTGGCCCACAAACAGCTTCTGCGCTTATCTCACTATGTCCTCAGCTACCCCATGAGAGAGGTGAGACGGAGATCCATCTTCCCACTTCTTAGATCAGGAAGAAGACTCAGTCACTGAGGGCCCTGCATGGGCCATTCGGTGGCCTTGAACCTGGGTCTATTGGCATTCTGGACAATGCTACCCAGTGTTCTTCACAGCTAGGATGACCTCTACCTCAGTTAGAGGTGACCTGTTTCCTTGCCCACCTCTTCCGCCAAAGTCATTCATCAGTCAGGCAGACATTTCTGGACTGTGTACTCTGTGCCAGGCACTGTTGGTGCTGGGGATGCTTCTGTGAACAACACAAAGGTCCCTGCCCTCCTGGTGCTCTTAGGGGGAGAAGATAGTAAGAAAGTAAATTCTGTTTTGGTGAGATGAACTTTGAAGAAGCAGGGAAGGTGGAGGGAGTTCTGGGTGGGGAGTGAGGCTGAAGTTGTCAATGGGGTGGTTAGGGAGGGGGACACACACAGGAGGAGGTTGGGGAACGAGCTATGTGGGTGGGTGTCTGGGGTAAGAGCAGCTGCAGGTGCCTGGGGTGGGAGCCTGCCTGGCAGGTGGAGGCAGGGTGAGGACCCAGGGGCTGCAGTGGAGTGAGGCGGGGGAGGAATGAGGGAGGGGGAGGAAAAGGGAGGGAGAAAGGCTTTTGCTGTGAGCTGTGAAGTCAGCGGAGTGACATGATCGTGCAGCTTAGCAGGACCCTTCTTGCCGATGAGTTAAGAAGAGACTAGGAGCAAAGGCGGAAGGAGGGGCTGGCGGAAGGAGGGGCTGCACTTGCTCCCATTGTAACCACTCAGGTGAGAGGCGATGGGGGCTGGGACCCAGGTCCCAGTAATGACGGGGTTTATGTTTTGAAGTGAGAGCTCACAGCATGTGCTGACAGAGTGAGGTGGAGTGAGGAAGGAACCCCCAGCCCGAGCCTGCGGCGCTGCGCCGTCCAACACACCAGCCGCATTTCGCTGCTGACACTTAGATGAGTTAAAATTAAACACAAGGAAACACTGAGCCCCTCAGTCACATGCGCCACACTTCAGATACTCAGCGCTCGCTGGTGGCTGGTGGTGTCGGGCAGCACAGATACCACCTGTTTCATCTCTGCAGACGTTCTATTGGGCCACACTGAATTCCAGAATGATGGTGTTGCCAAGCTCAGGAGTTTGGGTTCGGACATCGGCGGCCCTAAAATGCCCTCCCAGCCTGGACACAGTGGCTCACGCCTGTAATCCCAGCACTTTAGGAGGCTGAGCCAGGCGGATCACGAGGTCAGGAGTTCAAGACCAGCCTGATCAACATGGTGAAACCCTGTCTCTGTTTAAAAAAAAAAAAAATTGAAGCCGGGTGCGGTGGCTCATGGCTATAATCCCAGCACTTTGGGAGGCCGAGGTGGGTGGATCACGAGGTCAAGAGATCGATACCATCCTGGTCAACAAGGTGCAACACTGTCTCTACTAAAAATACAAAAAATTAGCTGGGCATGGTGATGCGCGCCTGTAGTGCCAGCTACTGGGGAGGCTGAGGCAGGAGAATTGCCTGAACCCAGGAGGCGGAGGTTGCAGTGAGCCGAGATCGCTCCAGCCTGGGTAACGAGAGCGAAACTCTGTCTCAAAAAAAAAAAAAAGATTTTTTTTCTAGTTAGCATTTTGTCTAACCTGTTTTCAAGGTTCTTGGTTTCTTTGCATTGGGTTAGAACGTGTTCTTTTAGCTCAGAGAAGTTTGTTATTATTCACCTTCTGAAGCCTGTTTCTGTGAATTCACCAGACTCATTCTCCATCCAGCTTTGTTCCTTTGCCGGCGAGGAGTTATGACCCCTTGGAGGAGGAAAGGCATCTGTTTTTTGATGTTTTCATCCTTTTTGTGCTAGTTTCTTCCCATCTTTGTGGATTTATCTACCTATGGTCTTAGTAATTGGTGACTTTTGAATGAGGTCTCTCTGTGGATGTCCTTTTTGTTGATGTTCAAGCTATATCTTTCTGTTTTTAAGTTTTCCTTCTAACAGTCAGGCCCCTCTGCTGTAGGACTGCTGGAGGTCCACTCCAGACCCTGCTTGCCTGCAGCCTGTAGGGCTGCAGAACAGTAAGAGTTGCTTCCAGTTTCTTCTTCGGTTATCTTTGTCCCAGAAGGGTACCTGCCAGATGTCAGCCATAGCTCTCCTTTATGAGGTGCCTCTTTGGATATACAGGGGTAAGGGAGCTGCTTGAGGAGACAGTCTGTCCCTTGTCAGAGCTCAAGTACTATGCTGGGAGTTCAGTTGTTCCATTCAGAGCTTCTGGGCAGGTATGTTTAAGTCTGCTGCAGTGGAACTCATAACTGCCTCTTTTCCCAGGTGCTCTGTTCTGGGAAGGTGGGGCTTTATTTATAATTTCCTGGTGTGCTGCTGCCTTTTTTCAGAGATGTCCTCCCCAGCAAGGAGGTAGTCTAGTCACAGTCTACCAGCAGACGTGTTGCTGAGCTGCTGCAGGCTCTACCCAACTGCTGTGTCAAATCAATATTAATAAAATGGCCATACTACCCAAAGTAACTTATAGATTCAATGCTATTTCTATTAAACCACCAATGACATTCTTCTCAGAAATAGAAAAAGCTATTTTAATAATCATACAGAACCAAAAAATAGTCTGAATAGCCATGGCAACCCTATGTAATAAGAGCAAAGCTGGAGGCATCACGCTATCTGACTTCAAACTATACTACAGGGCCACAGTAACCAAAACAGCATGGTGGTTGTACAAAAACAGACACATAGACAAATGGAATAGAGAGCTCAGAAATAAGTCCTCATACCTACAGCCATTTGATCTTTGATAAAACTGACAAAAACAAGCAATGAGGAAAGCATTCCTTATTCAATAAATGGTGCTGAGGTGACTAGCTAGCCATATGTGGGAGATTTAAATTGGATCTGTTCCTTACAGGATATACAAAAATTAACTCAAGGTGGATTAAAGACGTAAACATAAAACCCAAAACTGTAAAAACTCTGGAAGAAACCCCTATGTAGACAATACAATTGTGGACATAGCAAATGGCAAAGATTTCATGACAAAGATGCCAAAAGTGACTGCAATAAAAGCAAAAATTGACAAATGGAATCTAATTAAGGTTTCTCCCATGCTGTAGGTGGCATGTATATTTTCAAAAGAAGACAGGCATGCAGTCTGCAAGCATATTAAAGAAAAATCTTAGCAGCACTGATCACTAGAGAAACCCAAATCAAAATCACAATGAGACACCATCTCACACCATTCAGAACAGCTATTTTTAAAAGTCCAAAAATAACAGGTGCTGGCAAGGTTGCAGAGAAAAAGGAATGCTTATACACTGTTGGTGGACAGTTACATTAGTTCAACTCTTGTGGAGAACAGTGTGGTGATTCCTTGAAAACCTAAAAACAGAGCTACCATTTGACACAGCAATCCCATTACTAGGTATAACCCAAAGGAATATAAACCATTTTATCATAAAGACACATGCATGCATATGTTCATTGCAGCACTATTTACAATAGCAAAGACATAGAATCAACCTAAACACCCATCAAGAGTAGACTGGATAAATAAAATGTGGTACCTATACACCATGGAATACTATGCAGTCATAAAAATTAACAAGATCCTTTTCTTTGCAGGAACAGGAATGGAGCTGGAAGACTATCCTTAGCAGACTAACACAGGAACAGAAAACCAAATACCACACTTTTTCATTTATAAGAGGGAGCTGAATGATGAGACTATATAGGCATATAGAAGGGAACAACAGACACTGAGGCCTATTGGAGGGTAAAGGATGAGAAGAGGAAGAGAATCAAGAGAAATAACCCATAGGCACTAGAATTAATACCTGTGTAACAAAACAATCTGTACGGCAAGCCTCCATAACACAAGTTTAACATATCTCCACATGTACCCCTGAACGTAAAGGAAAAGTTAAAAAAAATCACTAATTTATACAAGTGCTTCTCAAACTTTAATATGGGGCAGAACTATCTGAGGGTTGGGTTAAAATGCAGATTCTGATTCAGTAGGACAGAGTTCAGAAAGAGGGCTGAGATTCTACATACATTTCTAACAATCTCCAGGAGCTGCTAATGCTACTGGTTCGTGAGCTATATTTGAATAGCAAGGATCAAAACAGCAACAGCTGTCAAGCTTTGTTGCCCATTAGAATCAACTGGAGAACGGCCGGGTGCGGTGGCTCACGCCTGTAATCCCAGCACTTTGGGAGGCTGAGGCGGGTGGATCACGAGGTCAAGAGATCGAGACCATCCTGGTCGAAATGGTGAAACCCCGTCTCTACTAAAGATACAAAAAATTAGCTGGGCATGGTGGCGCATGCCTGTAATCCCAGCTACTCGGGAGGCTGAGGCAGGAGAAGTGCCTGAACCCAGGAGGCGGAGGTTGCAGTGAGCCGAGATCGCGCCATTGCACTCCAGCCTGGGTAACAAGAGCGAAACTCCGTATAAAAAAAAAAAAAAAAAAAAAAAAAAAAAGAATCAACTGGAGAGCATATGAAACTCTCAATGCCTGGGATGCACCCTATATCAACTAAATCAGACTTGCTGGGGATGGGACACAGATTTTAGCATTTTTAAAAACTCATTGGGTGATTCCAACATGTAGAATATCTGTGAAACAGTCATTGAGGATTTCAGTTCTTACCAATTCCAGACCTGGTTTCATCCAGTAATCAGGAATGATAAATGATGAAGAGATTCTAATCCACACAGTCAGTATGTCTTAGAAGCAAAGTCAAGCCATGCCTGGTATAGAGGACCGCATGAACACACAGAGCACATTGAGCTTGGAGGACATCAAACCCATGGTGTGTGTGAAAGAGTTTACAATCACTGTCGTTAGACATATGGAGGATTATTGGAAAGAAGAGGCAGTATACTTGGTCTGTGAAATTCCAAAACTAGGCCTTGGATCAGTGAATGTAGTTACAGGGAGACAGATTTAAACTCAACTTATGAAAATTCTGCCTACAAATCGAGCTGTCCAAAAATAGGTTAACTTAAAAAGGAGCACATACTCCGGAATCAGCTAATGAGTTGGCAAGGAAGAGTCCTTGATTATTCTTTGTATTCGTCTTCAACCATCACCCCCACTGGCCTCAGCCAGCATCTAATCCATCAGTCAATCCTGCCAAGTCTACCTTGAATCTATATATTTAATACATCTACTTATTTTAAGACTGTCCTCAAGCACGCACTTTTATTTCTTGCTGGAATTCTGTGATATCCCTCAACTGAAATGGCCTCCTGACATACCTCTGCTACCTTTGCCTTCTTAGATCTTTTTTTTTGAGACGGAGTTTCCTCTTTTTATGGAATTGCCTGGGTTCAGGCAATTCTCCTGCCTCAGCCTCCTGAGTAGCTGGGATTACAGGCACGCGCCACCATGCCCAGCTAATTTTTTGTATTTTTAGTAGAGGCAGGGTTTCACCATGCTGACCAGGATGGTCTCGACCTCTTGACCTCGTGATCCACCTGCCTCGGCCTCCCAAAGTGCTGGGATTACAGGCATGAGCCACCGCGCCCGGCCCCTTAGATCCTTTATGACAGATTTGTCTTTTTAAAATCAAGAAATTACATTAATCCAGCCTTTCCATAAAAAGCCTCCATGATCTTCCCATGGCATTTAAAGAAAATCTACATCCATGACCATGACAGGCAAGACCTTTCCTGACCTCATTCCTGCCTTCTTCTGTCTAAGTCTGTCTCTTTTCCTTGTCCTCTAAAGCCATCCTCACCAGCCTCTCCAGCCACAGGGCTCCTTGATGAGTCTTGAACTTACCAAGAAAACTTATTTCAGGACCTTTGCACTTGCCATTCTCTCTGTTTGGAAAACCAAAGAAAACCATGTGCACATGGTCAATTCCTTCTTGTCATGCAATGCTTGGCTCAAATGCCAACTCTTGAGAGAATACTCCTCTGCTTACTAACCTAAAACGCCCACACTATTCATTCTGTCACTCTCTGAATCATATTTTCCTATTGTATGTTGTTTTTAGATAAATAGCATGTAACATAATTGATTTATTTGTTTGTTCAACAAATATTTACTGAACACTTGCTATGTTTCAGATTTTCTTCTAGGCAACAGAAAGAGATATGTGAACAAGACAGCAAAGTCCATTTCCTCATGGGAGTTCCATGTCAGCTAAAGCTCTAACTCGTTGTCTGAATTACCATGTTCACTTATTTTTTTTGTGTTTGTTGCCTGTCTCCCTTCTCTGAACTTTCAAACTGCAGGCATCTTGGAATTTTTTTTCTCACTGTGCAAAGTACTTGGTTTCTGGAAAAGTACCTATAACATAATATTGGTGCAATAAATATTTTCAAAAATTAATAAATGAATGGAGACTTTTTAAACATTGAGAATTCTGAGATTATTGAATTCTATGCATCAAGGCATCTCGTTTCCTTCTCTTTTTAACCTAG